GCAAAAGGCAGCTTTACTTGGAACAGCTTACATCCTGCGATGATACCTTTAACACCATCAACAACATCTGTCTATCCCAGGTCCTTGGGAAGGAGTCAGTCAGTAGGTGGATAAAAATGCCAAATCCAGCCTAAACATCTGGCTGACTGTGCAGCCAGTCATCGTGATGATGATGATGATGATGTGATGATGATATGTCTGAAGCCAACCAGAAAGTCTTACTGGGAACAGCCAGTAACAAAGTGCTGAAAATCTTTACTTTCTGATGTATAAGAGGCATTGATTCGATGTTCTTTATAGAATTAGAAACTTACCGAGATTATTTTGATGTAAAGTTTAATATACATAAAAATAGATCAGAAATTAGAGTCTGACATTCTTTTCAGTGAAATCCAAATACTTAATACTAGATACGGAATAGTCAGATCCAAAGCGGGCAAGATTGGTGTGTTGATGGCTTCTTAGCTCAAAAATGTATTTTCCTGAGCCCACAGAACTACCATAAGACCCCAAGAAAAGGCACAGCTGCCTTAAGGAGTAGTCAGCAGGTACAACAAGGGTGCCTGAACTGGATGCACAGCAGTGTTGTTAGTTTTGGATCAAAGTATCGCGCATCTCTATTTAATAGCAGAAATGTGGGAGGTATGTGGCATTATTAAACTCTGTCATTTCCTTGCAAAGCAGTATTTTAATAACATTTGTTAATCTCCTTTCTACCACAGACTATTCAGGTGCTGCTCTGTAGTTGGCTTCTCCTCTCCTTTCCTTATTTTCTCATTTACTCTTTTCCAAGGATGAATTTTACCTAAAATAGTAGGTACAGCAATGAAAACTGTTCTTCAGTTTGTCTTACCTCTTCCCTCCCTGTCTTTTCTACAGTGGGAGCTGGCGAAGTTGCTAACTTTGCTGCATATGCATTTGCACCAGCTACATTGGTGACCCCATTGGGAGCTCTCAGTGTTCTCGTAAGGTAAGAAGGTAGTTCCATCTGTCTCCTTAAATATCATCAAGAGGCCTGGTTAGACACTTGCTTTTGTGCTGGCAGAGAACTGGGTTTCTGAATCTGGCTTAGTTGCTTTAAGTTTTGTTCTTTTGAATGTTTCAGTATAATTTACTATCTTGATGTCATTGCTACTATCCAGTTTTCCTCCCACCAGTTGCTTGTAAAGAAGCTACAACATGGATGATTTTTGGAGATAAATCTTGGTACATTAGAATCAAAATTTATCAGCAATTCAGTTTAATATTCTGTGCATGAGAGTATGCCCACATGCTTCTAGATTTAATATTTTGTTTGAATTGAAATTAGATATAGTACTTTCTCTTTGGAGTAATCAGGATTATTTTAATTTAAAAATATCTAAAAATTAAAAATGAATCTATCATTAAAGTGGCATAACCAGAAAGCCCTTGCTTACTTTCTCTTAAGCCCCTGTGAATGCCCTCAAAATCTGATCTGGCGGATTAGAGAGCTTCTGAAAATGGATTTTAAAGTGTAAGGTAGCCTCTTCCTCTTATTTCATGAAAATAAATGGCCTTTGTCAAAAGAATAAGCCTTTCAATTTATTTTAAATAAGGTTCTTTCACAACATTTTTAGAATACAGGTATCCTGCCTTCTAAACCAGGTAGAAGGCCTTCAGATGGCTTTCAGCCTTTAAAAAATGCATTCTAATCTGTAACAATACATACATGTAATTGTTACATTATGATTTAAGAACAATGCTTGTTGTCTAATTTATATTTGTATATTTTAGTGCCATTCTTTCATCATACTTCTTAAATGAAAAGCTTAATCTACATGGAAAAATTGGGTGTTTGTTAAGCATACTTGGTTCAACTGTGATGGTCATTCATGCACCCCAAGAAGAGGAAGTTGAAACCTTGAATGAAATCTCCCACAAGCTAGGCGATCCAGGTGAGAGAACGGGTTGATCTGCTCAAAATTCAAGGAGGTAGTACTTCTCTGCCCAAGTGAGGAATGTAAATGGTGGGGCAGGGCATATGTGCTAGTCCTGCTGTGAGTATCTCTTCACAGAGCTATATAGTTCTGCATTGGATTTGTAACTGCATTCAGTTGCAGGTATCTAGCTGCCCCACAACTGGAGATCCTGAGAAGACAGGATTATCAGTGAGGCTTTCAAATGCTTTTAGCTGAACATGCTTACAGTGCTTGTATATACTTTAATGCTCAATGCACAAAGATCTGAAGAGGCATTTGTGAATGTTCAGAATGGGGTTGGAGTACATCTTCAACCCCATAGCTCATTTTTAACCCTTACTTATACTGTCTGAACACTTGTGGAGGACTACTAAGTGGTTTAGAGCTGCAAAGTTCGAAGTTGTAGCAAGAAATAGCTTAGACAGACAGTAACTGTGCTTTCCATGACACAGATTACTGTAAGATTTTCCTTTTTTCTGGAGCCTGTGAGCTATCAGAATGGCATTGATATTTAAGAACTGAGCATCCAACAGAGAAGCTTTCCTCTTTTACTGGGAGTCAACATAGGTTTAGCCGACAGCTAGAACTAAGAAGGTCTTAGGTATCCTTATGAAGAAATATATGTATTCTGAATGATGCAATTATATAAAATTGCATCATTAGTAAAGGCCAGATAGGGTAGGGATACTTTCCCATGCATTCCTGCCTTTAACTCGGGTAGGCTACCTGAAAATCGTATGTGACTCTCCCCCCACCACCAATATTATTTCATCAAATTTGGCAAAATGCAGAAATGTGGAGATGTTATTATCCCTATACTGAAAATATACGTATTAAACCTATACAAATCTACTACCGTCAACCTCTTCCACCCCACCCC